CAAAAAAAGTTTTAAAAAATCTATTTATCATACTACGGCATGTTTTTAAAGTTGTATAAATTTTTGATGCTTATTTACAATCCTGTTGTGTAGCGTTAATCGTATTCTGTATCCATAAAAAAATACACCCACCAAATGATTTTTTTTTTCACCATGTCATTCACTGCATTAAGTCTGACAAAATTATTTTGTTCAGAAGTGGTAAAAAATTAGCGTTACAAAACTTAACTATACGTTACGTCATGCTACGTAAAGTTAAGTTTTGAAAAAAGTTGAAGACTTCAATGCTGTAACTTTTACATACTAAATTATATGATAAGTATTGCACATTTCTAGAAAGTTTCAAGTCATTTTTTTTTCGGTTCATTTTTAAAAGCTTAAAGAGTGTCAAATGGTACGACCACCACAGTGTATATATATAATATCTCCAGCGGTAGGTGTGTTCTTCTTTTCTGCAATTGCCAATCATACTTGTTTGCGAATTTATTTTGCAGCAATAGTTTCTTTTTTTTTTCCGGATATACCCTAACATGGAAACTATTAAAGGTGTTATCAAGAAAGATGTTGCATGGAATTCTTGAGCAACTGTCCTAACTTTAACAGTGAGTTTAGAAATTTTGTGAGGGAAACCATCTATAATGCATTAAGGCTTTTTTTTAAAGCTGTTTATTTAGAAAGCGATGTTGATGGAGTTAAGGACAGACAGTTAAGCATTAAGAGAGAGTAAGTAGTAGAGACAGGAGGAGGTAAGAATGTTTTCTTGATCTTATCTAAAGAAAAAAATAAATAGAAAATGCAATAAAACAATATTAAAATGGAGTGTCAGGGCAAACATTTACAAAATACATGCAACTTAATATAGGTTATGTTATTTCAATAGAATTGAAAGGAAACATCTGTATATTTCTTTTTATATAGCTTTATTTCTCTACACGGCTTCTTCCCTCCACAGGGCTTGTTGATTGTCTGCATTTCTTCTTTGCTCATTGACATTTTCAAATTTTCTCTTTTTCGTGTCAGCACGAAAAAGAGAAAATTTCAATTACATTACATTAAACTGATTAATGGTATTAAAAGGCCTGGAGCAACAGGTATATCTGGCAAAGTTTCATGTTTGAAAACAGTTAAATCTTTCATCATCTTCTTTATTGTATTATCACTTATGCTGCAACTATATAAAAATAAAAACAATATTTGATTCTTGTAGGTATTGTATTTTATATATAAAAAGTTAGTATTCCAATTTTCTTTTTAATAATTTGTAGTAATGATGATACACGATTTGGTTAGTGAAGATAATTATTATGCTTCCAAATTGCAGTATTAAACTATCATGACCGTTACTTTTGTTATCATATTCATCTTTAAATAATTTATATTATATTTTAAAATCATAAAAAATGTGTTATATTTAAAACCATTAACCATCATTCATATAGAATATTTATATTTATAGGAAGTTACAATGACATAATCTTAAACACAGATGTAATGTTATTTTTGGTAGAGGAAGGTTTATCAGCTAATGTGATTGCTTACACAAATTCATTTGTTAATGGGGTTAGTTTTTATTTTTTATTGTAAAATTAATCATTTTTTGTATTGCAGACAAGTTCCATTTAAAAAGTTTTTTATAAATGATTTTTTTTAATTTTGTTTTATGCTACAGTCAAAAGTTTTGTGGATATCTGACTTTTTTTTTTTTTTTCAAAAAATCAAAAATAAAGAATTAACTTTTTATATATTTTTTTAATAATTAAATTTTTATAATTTATTGATTATTTAGCATTTTGCTCTTAAGTACCATTTCAATACGTTTCAGCATGGTTTCAGAGAGTTTTTTAAAGTATTACTGAGACATGTTCTTAATTCAAACTCTTTTTATTACCGCTATCATTTCTGTAGTTGAAGTGTAGCACGCTTGATAAATCTTTGATTTTATTTCCTTTTTATAATTTTTCTATTAGGTTGAGATCTGAGCTATTGCTGGGCCACTCTGAAACAATAATTCCTTTACTTAAGTATCATTGTTTTGATGTTTGGCAAGATGTGCTATCTCACATAAAGAGATATTTTGTGAATTTCAAAATGAATTTCAAATTGGTCCAAAATTTTTTGTTCTAAACACCTTATATAGCATTTAGAGTTGATTGTTTTATTTTTTAGAAGAAAGTGTAATGTTGGTCCACCCTGTTTGCCACTAAAGCAATATCAAACAGTTCTCTTGATGTATTCAGGATTGAATTCGTCAGAACTATAAGGGTGATGCATTTGGCCTCTACTTATCAGTGAAAAGTACTTCCGTCATTGTATATTGGTCTACCATATGAAGGTAGACCGTTATTTTGGTGTCGCATGTTATAAATACAAGAATTTACTTCAAATTATTTTGAATTAGATAAATTAATAAAATCAAAAACAGCAATTACATAAATACATACATCATGAATTTAACAGTCCTTATAACTTGCATTATGTCCTTTAAAGTACATGGGATCAG